ACAACACTGCCTTAAAGGGACTCAATCTGCTAAAGATGGGCACCCATGGCATTCCCTCCTGGCTAGACCATGTAGAGCTTGCGATTCTACCTGGAGCAGATAGTTTGGAAGGTAAGAATGGCCCAAGCTATCTATGTCTTTATAAATAACCACCAGCACCTTGAATTGGGCCTGGAAGCCTATTGGCAATTAGTACAATTCCCAGGATATAGATGTGCTTTTGCTCAACTGGCTGGGACCGACTTGCAGATGGGAAAGTGCATTTGTGCAAGTTTCAGTTTTCAAATCATCTTTAAAGGTAGTCCCATACAGAGTGAATAGCAATAACCTAATAACAGTAGCCATAGACAAGGGTGTGAGTCATTGTTTTTAGCACCTCCTGGTCCAGGAAAGGATGCAACTGGCAAGCCAGCTATAGTTGGCCAAAGGGGTTTCTGGCAACAGTTGCTCTAGCAGGAGGCATTTGTCCAGGCAATGGAATCCAACTATCAGTTTTGATGGGGTTGTACTTTCCTTGATGGGACAAGTATGTCCCAGATTGCATATTTGTTCCTCCAGAGAAAGTGTAAGCTCATCAAGAACAATACAGTAGATGCACCATCCATGGAACCAGAGGGTCTCTGTACCAACAGCAACTACGTGTGGCTGGGATTCAGAATCTGTTCCACCCCATCCAGTCTCTCATAACCTCTAAGTGCTGGGTCAGAATTTCTAATGCATATTCCTCTCTGCCCGGGAGAAGGATTTAATGATGAATATCATCAACATACTGAATATATCTGGTTCCAAACTAATGGATGACCTCCCCCAACAGCTTCAAAAAGATATTAAACAAAATAGGGGAGAAGACCAAACCCTCAAGCACCCCAAGGAGCAGAACTACTGCAGAACATTCCCTCAAACCCTTCAGCTAGCCCAAATGGATACCGTGGCTGATGGCATGGAAGGAAATGGTGAAGCACAACCCTCCCAAATCCAGGTCTTGACACTCTCCTGGAAGGGATATATATATATATATATTAATTAATTAATTAAATTTCTCCCCTGCCCATCTCCCCCCAATGGGGGACTCTGGGTGATTCACACAAAACATTAAAACCATAAATA